GGTTTGTCGGGCAGGACCTGGCTCAGAGCTCTGCTGCCCGCCGTGCCGGGGACGGAGCCGATGCCCGGGCTGGGTGGGACGAGCCCACCAGGGCTGACCCTGCTGGAGGCGGCGGGGGAGCCCGGGGCTGCCACCCCAAGCTCCCGCGCTGCCCAAAACCTCAGCTGCAGCATCTGCCCAGGTGCCCCCGTGGGCGACTCCCACCGCTCCGCCCCGAGGAGGAGGGAAGGGAGGAAGACGAGTCAATACACAGAGAACAGACGTGAAAATGGAGCAACCCAACCAAGAAAACTCTCTACTTCTTCTGCATCACATTTCAGCCTTGTCAGACTTCAGTGTTTCTGTCCAGCCCGTGGTTGGCCATGACCGTGGTTGGCCATGACCGTGGTTGGCCGTGCCCATGGTTGGCCGTGCCCATGGTTGGCCATGCCAGTGATGCTGCTGGCAGCGGACCCAGAGGCAGAAGCCCTGGGCCATGCCCACGTGCCCTCCCAGTGCCATGGCCACAAGCCACTCATCACGGCAATCCCTGACAAAGGTTCTGCCCTGACCCTCTGCTCCTTCCCCATGCACACCCGCGTTTCACCCAGATCAGGGCTGTGGTTCGGGCCAGGTGGTTGCTCAGCACAGGAGAGACGTCCCTGGTGCTGGGCCCAGGCAGTCAGGCTGGCACGGGCAGTCTGGTCTGCGTGCAGCTGGCCCGTGGGAACTTTGTGAGCTTGGACCCCAAATTCCCAGTGCAGGGAAGGGACAAAAGGACAAACGCTGATGAAAGGTAAATGCTTTGTCTTTGCTCTCCTCCTGCTTCTTGATTAGTTTACCATTTCAAAGGGAAATTTTGCTGTTTCCAGTGATTTCATACTGTTAAAAAGAAGGCAAAAAAAGGCCTAGAGTCTAATCCAGATGTGTACTTAGCTGATTTGTTCCCAAACAGTTTTGCTTTGAACTGATCAGAGTAAGTGCTATCCTGTCTTGTAATCTCCAAGTGGATTTGGGTGTGCTGCATCGCGGGTGAGGTGGATTCACATCCCTTCTGTTACTCCTCACAATAAAAAGGATTTTTCTTCATCTGCATTCAGCACGGGATTTGGTTTCTTTCCAAACTGCTGAAGGATTTTTGCATTTGCAAGGGTTTTGTTATTTATCTCTCCTATCAGCTACAGGAGTAACTCACATGCAAAGAATATTTAATAGATGACTCTGATGGAAAGGTGGGGAACCACGACAAGCTGCAGCCCCAGAGCTGAGCCTAAGCCCTGCCCAGCCCTGGCAGACCTGTGCCTCTCTCGCAATTTAAAGTAGCTACAGAAATGTGGTCAATGTGAGAAATAAATATTCCCCTCATTTGTATTTATGCAGATTTATTCTGCCCTTGTCCCCGAGCTGCTGGTTCTTTTATTCTCTATTCTTGCTCTCTGCTTGTTGCCAGCGAGCTGGGAGCTGTCTGACATGAACAAACACATCCCTGGGGCCCCGCCGGGGCAGCCCCCCCCGGGCTGTGCCTGGGACCCCCGGGACCCCGGGGCTGAGCAGGCAGCGACCGCCGGCGAGTTTCTGGGTGCAGGAGGAGCTCGTGCCCGGCCACGGCGGCTCGTTGGCTGCTCCCCACATCGAAACGCGTCCCGGGGGTGGCTGTGCCGCAGCCCCCGCGCAGAACGGCTGCTCGGCCGGTGCCGGACCCCCGAGCCCTGCAGCCTCCATCACCACCGGCTCTGCCGGGACGCACCGACACCCTCCTCTGCCTCTGCCCTTCGCGGGTCCCTCTGCCCGGGGTCCCAGAGCCCCTGCGCCCAGGGCCAGGGCTCCCGCTCCCGCCTCGGTGACCCGCTTCTCACATTTACACTCAATTTTTTGCAGCTTGTGGTTCCAGCCGGTGACGTGGCCGCTGGCCGCGTTCCGCAGCGTGTGTGCCGCCCCGCTGCACCTGCCCCTGCCCCGGCGGCCGTCATCGAAGGAAAGAAAAGAAAAAGGTGAAGAGAGGAGGAGAGCCGAAGGTGTTGGGAAGCGGGAGGTGGTGGGTGCCAGCAGCCGGGAGCACCCAGAGCAGCACGTGCCGCCGGAGCCGCAGCCCCAGCTCAGGGTGAGCATCTCCAGCGCAGACCCCAGCCCCGGGCCCCTGCGCTGCCCCCTCGCCCCGGCCTGAGCCCTGACCCGGGGCTGCCACAGAGCCGCCCGCCGGCACGTCCTGGGCCCGGCAGCTGGCAGCTGGCACTAAGGAAAGAGACGGTGCCAGTTCCCAGCCCGGCCTCACTGGCTGGGAGTAATTGCAGAGGCAGGTGTGAAGGTTTCCTCGGTGATCCTGGAACCAAAACGCCAAAAAGCAAATCCTTCCAGCCGGCGTCGTGCCATGGGGGTGGCTCCCACCAATGCTCCCGCACAGCCAGGGGCGGCCGGGGGCCACCACGAGCCCCGTGGAACCGGCGGCTCCGGTTTGACGCCCCAATACTGGTGTAAAATGGTGCCACAGGGGCTGTCCCTGCCGCTGGCACTGCCCGGCCCCAGGGTGCAACCTGGGGACAATTCAGACCCCTGTGAGCCCCATTTACAAGGGCCTCAACGTGGGTTTGGGCTGGATTTCCCCAGCCGGTGCCCAGGGGTGCCATGGAGGGGTGGGGGGCACCCAGAGGCCCCTCTGCCCCCGCCCATTCCCCCCACGGCAGCTGGGGCACCGGGTCTGTCCCTCGCAGGGTTTGCGCGGAGAACGCGCCAGCCCGCTCCCACCCGGCTTCTGTTTGCAAAACAGAAAAACACAAGGTCTGGGGCTGCCAGGTGAGGGTTTACTTTGGCCCACGTAAATGCAAAAACCCTGAAGGCAAACAGCGGCCTCAGCTCTGCTTCCCGCTCCTCAGGTGCTTTGTTACGGGAGAGCGCCCAGCCCGGCCTGGGGACAGAACAAGGGGCTGGGGGAGCCCTGGGAGGACAGTGACCAGGGCCAGGGTGGGCGCCTGGCGGGGCAGCGGGGGGAGGACGTCACTGAGGGTGTCCCCGCGGCCCCGGAGCATCGTCCTGCCGGCCGGTACCGCTGCTCCCGGCAGGCCTGCGCTCGCTTCTGAGCGTGGGATGGGGAGAGTTTTCACACCGACAGTAAAAGGGCTTTTCAAAATGGAGTTTTGATCAAGAAATCATGGGAGGAATATTTTTTTCAAAATATCAGAGCGTTTCAATTTTTTTAAGGAGAAACTGTTTCTTTAAGTGCCTGCTGGTTTGTTCTGACAGCTTCAAAGAAAACCTCCCACTATTCTTTTTCAAACTTGCTGTAATTAAATAACAGAAGGGCAACATTTTAAAAAGAAAGAAGAAACAGGTTAAAAGAGGAGGCTAAATAACCCAAAGAGAACAGAACACCTTGTTGAGGCTCAAAAATCCCTGTGTCAGCCTGACCAAAAGTGAATCTTGTTTTTGTTTCCGTGCTTCAGCCATTACCCTTGGTATCTTCACGGATGCAGAAAGGGGAGGAGGACAATTCTGTCTGGCTTTTCATTTCCACAGCAGTGCGCTGAATATTAATCAGCCTAAACCCAGCGCTGTAGGCGCTGCTGCAAATTACCCGTTCTGCAGTTGGCTGTAGTTTACTGTGTAATTTTTGCCTGTGAGCCAAGAGCAGGGCCTGGGCCGGCTGATCCCCCCCGTGACCGAGTTTGCAGGCAGCGGCCACACCACGAACGGGGGCGTCCCCGGAGCACCCCGATAGCTCTGTTAGAAATGCCACCGGGCATCAGGCTGGTGTCCTACCAGGGTTTCCTGTCAAGGAATCGGGCACCTCTCTCCTCCTCGCTAATGTGAGCAGCGTACGAAGGGAAATGAGGTTCGTTCCTGCATCAATCCTCCCCCCACGCGGCCGACCCAGCCCCGCTGCCCACCCCGCTCGCCCCGCGCCAGCGAATGAAGCCCAGGGAAAGCCTTTGCCTGGTCTTAAGGAGACTCGGGGTGTTTCCAACAGCGATGGGCTTTGCTCTGGACACCGCTGAAGGCACAATGTGACAATCCCTGAAGCTGAAAGCACTCGGCCGGGCTGGCACGGCCTGTCCCCGCGCTCCCAGCAGCAGCTCCCGCCAGCCCGGCTGCTTGGACCCAGCGGGAGCAGAGACCCTGGTCATGGGCCCCTTTGAGACAGTGTGAAATAATTCCCTCTCACTCCAATTTCCTGGGGGAAGTTCTGCTAACGGGCACACGAAGCCCCGCACCATCCCGCTGCAGCTGGCACGTTACGAGAGACCCCCCAGGCTCCTGCTGCGGGGGCCACCAGCCCTGGCCACCACGATCTCCCCTCCGCGGGTCAGCGGCCGACAGCGGCTCGGCCAAATCGCCGCGTGCGGGGCTGCACTGTCAGCTTTTCCCTGCTGGAAAACAAGCTCCCGAGTGTCCCCGCTAGCAGTGATGTTTGCAGTGAGAAAGAGCAGCTCGTACCTCCCACCCACAAACTTTTGGGGGGCAGAAGGGGCTGGGGGCTCCCTGTGACGGGGGGAGGCTCCGCACGGGGCGGCCGCGCTGCCGGGGTCCGTCCTGCTGCCCCCAGCACACAGCTCCCTGCAGAGGGAGGCTTTGCTCCCTGAAATTCTGACATTTTAGGCAAAACGCTGGTTTGAACCTTACTCTGTTGTTTGATCCTGTGAGTCCTCCAGGTAAAACATCAACGTTCCTGTTCATCTCCACGAGCAGATGCCCGGCTCAGCGGCGTTCCCAGGGTGGGCAGCTGCTCCGGCTCCCCCCGCGTCCTGGAGCCACCCTGCCCGGGAGCTGAGAGGTGCCTCTAGCCCAGGGGCTACTGCCCAAGGGCCGGACCCGCGGCCCGGGCGGAGGACTGGGCACACAGGGAGCCTGCGGGGGGGCACAGAAAGTCTTTTTTCCCAGAGAGAGCCCGATACAGCTGTCCGAACAAACTGCACCACCTCATGGGAGGAATTTTAATCACTCTATTGATTCATGCTCCTGAGAGCGCCCGGGGTAGCAGCGCTCAGCTGGGGTTAGAGGGGTGCGGAGAGATGGAACGGGGGAGCCCGTGGCCCTTCCCTGCTCTCGGCCGCTCCACACCCGCCTGTGCCCGGCGTCTGACCACCCTCACGTCCACGATCTGTCTCTGACTATTAAATAATGCAGGCAGCAGGGGAAAAAGATACTTGAAAAATATCTGGAAGATATAGAGCCATTAATGGAAAACATCAGAAAATAGATATCAAGTAATGACACCACGACGAGAGCTTATTAATAGGAAAGTCCAAAGATAAAACTAATTTAAACCTGATGAGACAGGACATCTCATCTTCAGGAGAACGAGAAGTCAATAGTTAGCTGTCAGTAAAGGAAATAAATTGCTCACAAGGGAGGAAGAAAAGCCACAGGACTCCCAAGCCCCAGAGAACAGCAGTTGCTGTGGCAGACTTGCAGAGCTCCACACCGAATCCACAAAACCCTGACAAAGCCGCGCTGCCGCTCACCGGCCGCGCTCAGCTCCAGGAGGGCGCGTTGCTCCGCGGAGGGGCCGGCAGCAGAGCAGCTGGGCTGGCCTGGGGGGACACCGGGGGGACACCAGGGGGGACGCAGGCAGAGGCCGTTGTGCTCCCAGCGCGGCAGAGCCCGCCGGCGGCAGCGGAGGTGCCTTGAGGAGCCAGTGCCACCTTCCTGCTGGAACCCGGCCGCAGCCAGTCCCGGACAGACGTGAGCTAAAGACTGAACTAATCTAACCTTAGAAATGGAAAACAGTTTTAAAAGTTCTTTATGTTGCATTAAATCCCAAAGCTTTATGCAAAGAGGTAACTCCAGCAACGGTGATGAAAAGCCACCGAAGGAAACCTCCAACCTGCAGCACGGCTGGCGGAGGCAGGAGGAGGAGGCCTGGGGGAGAAGGGCTCTCCAGCCCTCGCAGCCTGTCTGCTGAAGTGAAAACCTGTGAGAAAAGGGAAGGAAAGCGCTTGAGGCCCGGCACAGGCCGGCAGGCTGCTCGGTGCATCCCTCACAGCAATGCCGCTGTCACCTGCCACCGCAGGTCCTGGGCTGGCCGACAGCAAACTGCGCTCGCCGGCTGCCGTCAGGGACAGCGCGGTCTGCGCCTCCGGCTCCCCCGATTGTGGAGGGGACACAGGCTGCAGAGCCCTGGGGGGTCTGGGGGGACGTGACAGGCCACAGGCAGCTCTGGCGCTGGCAAAACCCCGCTGCTCTGCCCTGGCTGCTTGGAGAGTCTTGGAGACGGGAGCAAGCGACGGGCATGGCTTGAGCTTGTCCTTAGGCTCTGAGCGCCCGCTGCCGACCATGCCCCCCCGCCGCCCCACAGCCAGACCTGAGGACAAACAGGTTCCCTCTGCAGGGCTGCGCGATGGGGGCCCGGAGAACAAACGGGCTCTTGTTCTCCCTGACAGCGACCTTTGTACCACGTGAAGTTCTTTGCGTGTTCGCGGCGATGTTCGGCCTCACTCAACACGCTCCGCAGGCAGAAAAGGGAAGCGTGCGGGTTGCGTGTTGTGAAATCCTGGTGTCAGGAGGTGCCTCAGGGCACGGCTGGGGCTTGAAAGTAAATGTCAGCCCAGCACTGAGCTGCCAAACGCCTCAGTAGGTGTTTGCCCATGGGTGTAACTGGGGCACGACTGGCTGGAGGGAGGCAAATACAGGTTTGTGTGTTCTCCAGAAGGACCCCGGGACAAGTTCTGGGAAGGAGGGAGCTGTTGGAGAGGCAAGGCGGGGCAGGGCTCTGCTCGCCCCCGAAAGGCCCGGCCGAGCCAGGGGGGTTAACGCGTCCTCGCTCGTGCGAGAGGCCGTGGGACAGGGCAGAGCCTGGCGCTGCCGTTACTGGTGCTGGGAGTCGCTGTGTGACACCAAGAGCTGCCTCACACCTGCCTACGAGCCGGGCCCCATCCTGCGGTAAATCAGGAGGGACGCCAGGGAGCACGAGAGGTGGGAAGGGGAACGAGTCCCAGAGCTGCTTTGCCCTGGCAGCAGAGGTTGCGCTCAGAATGAGAACTCTGCTTTAGCCAGAAATTAGACTAAAACAAAGCGAGTGGCTGCAGCCGCAGGGAGGGGCCGGGCAGCGCCGTCCCGCGCCCGAGGCTCACGGGCACTGCAGCAGGGCACGGCCGACGGCACAGGCCCCTTCTCGGCAGCACTAAACCCCGGGTTTTACCATGGCATAGGGTGACGCCGGACCAGGCCGGAGCTGCGATGAGGCGCCGGTCGCCAACGCGGGCACAGCCGTGGCCGGAGCCGGGGGCTCGCAGGCAGCGCCCAGCCCAGCCCCAGCCCAGCCCGGCAGGAGCAGCCCCAGGGCCGGTGCGTGTCTCGCTTGTGCATCGCCCGACGTCCCCAGAGCCTGCCTGCCCCTTCCAGGTCGGGCGTTGGGGGTGTTTTCCCGGCAGGTTTGTTCATTTGCTGCCTCGGCCACCGGCTCCTAAGGAGCCCAGTCGGGCTTTGCGCAGGGCAAGCGCGGCCCGGGGCGCCTCACTGAAGGCGTTTCGTGCTCATGCCCTGGGCACTTCACACAGTCCCGCTGATCCTCTGGCTCTTACCTAAAGAATCAGCCTCAGCAAAGGACCTGGACAGCGATGGCCGCTGTGACTTTCCCTGCACCTTTCCCAGGGTGCGTCCAGCACACGACGTTTTCTGGGAATGGTTCAGGGCCGGGCTAAAAGGCGGTTGGTCTCCTTGGTGTGGGAAATCCACTCTGCCCAACGCTGGGAATATACCCCTGGAACCACGGGGACGTAACAAGCAGAAAGGGGGCGCAGATAACCTCAAACCCATGTGAATAAATACTCCCATGGCTCTGACACGCTTCTTTTCCACCCCTTCCTTTATTTTTGCTTCCTGAGGCTGGTGACTTCTGGAGCTGTTACCCCCAGCAGTTCCCACCCCGAGTGGGTCCGGCAGGCTGAGCGCAGCAAGGAGGGGGTTAGAGCCGGGGGTCTGACCCGAGGAAGATTCCCGAGTCATCCCTAAACCAAAATACCACCCAGCATCCAGGCACAGCGCTCTGCCCCAGGAACGTCTCCTGCTGTGCCCGGAAGCAAGCGGAGCCTGGCAGGGCCCAAAGCGGAGCCTGGCAGGGCCCAAAGCGGAGCCTGGCAGGGCCCGACTGCGGCTCTGCTCCCGCAGAACAAGACCAGGATCCAGCTCTGAAGCTCTAACAGGGGCTGCTGCCTCCTGCGCCCCTCAGGAACACACCAGAGCTTGTTCCCAGAGCTTGGGATGCTGGAGGCAAGGACTGAGCTTCATTACAAAACGGATCTTAAGAGGACACTTAGAAAACTGGTTGAAATTAAGGCTTTTAAACCCCGTGCTTTAATAATAAACACCTAGCAGGCCTCTGCTGGTACCAAATCCCGGGCAGTCATGTCCCTCCCCAGCCTGGGTGCTGATCCCTGGCAGAGCAGGGACAGTGTGTTGACAGCACCCGGCCTGGAGCCCCAGACCTTACAGCAGCAATTCCCACCAAACCGATCCCTTCCATCACCGAGGCCTGCCGAAGTGCCCCAGCGCTTCGGCTGCCGGTCGCAGAAGGCAGAGGTATAAATCAGCGTGAGGGATTTAAAGTCCTGTGGAGCTCAGGACTCTCGTCCCTGCTCCGGCCGGGAGAAGAAACAAGAACAAGCGGGAGGCAGAACGAAGGCGAGGCACAAGCTGAGCCTTCCCGACAGCAGAACTCGGGGAGCAAATCTTCTGACTAGCGATACAGAAGCCGCACCCCACCTCTAGCCCCCGAGAAAAAAGCCATTCCTGCTTTCAGGCAGAGGCAAATGACTGACTCAGCCTCCAAGGTCACTGTAAGCGCTTCCTAATGGATGCTGTGCTGCCTTAGAGCCTCAGCCTTCATTCCCGAGGCCTATAAAAACTAAGGAGGCAAGGCAAATGGTGAGCGCTACGGCTCCCTGGGGAGTCTGTGCAGCCAGCGTTATCACCTTCTCATCAAAATGTAAAACCCAGCTCTCCTCCTCATTAGTCTCCTGCTCTTAAAATAATGATTGTAAAACGCCGGCAGCTGGCTGGAGCTGGGAGGGCACACTGCTCCCGGAGCGGGGAGAGGGTCAAAGCGGTCAGTGACAGGGGGGCGTCAGCCCTTTTCAGGGGTGCTGCCCTGGGCCACACTTTCAAGGAGGGAAAGGCAGCTGAAAGATGCTGCAGGGGGGTTCAAACCAGGCCGCCCACCCCCGGCCTTCATTAGCACGCGGTGGCTTCGGCCGTGCCCCCCGCTGCCCCCTAGGTTTCACACCAAGCAGCCCCTCCTGCCTCGTCCCTAAGAGCCCGTGGGCCCAGGGCTGGCCCTCGCCTGGCAGCCGAGGTTGGGGACCCGGGTTGTGAATTCCAGCCCCGACACTTCCCCCTTGGGGGGTGTGTGGGAGTGGAACGGCACCGCCCGGGTCTTGGCCCCTCAGCACCGACAGCAACCGTGCTGATTCACTTCCTTGAGGAGAATCAGCTCCGAGACCATGAGGAAAGTGTATTTGTCTAATGAATATTTGTCTAATGAATATTCAGTGAGCCACACTGCTTTCAGAGAGATACACTTACATCCCAGAAAGAGGTAAGAGAAGGCTTTCTAGCAAAACCCTTTCACATTTATTTAGAAATTCTACAAATTCACGTCCTGACTGCTCTAGTAGGAGCTGATCAACTGTTCCTTCAAAGCTGGTCGCTGCATAGAGCCTTTTACAATGATTTTTCCTTTAATAACAAGATTACCTAGACTAAAAGGGGCGATTCTTTCTCACATCTCACAGGAGTTTAGGCGCAGGGTACAGGCCCTCGTCTGGATTTAGCAGAGCCAGGGCAGCTGCAGGCTGACGCAACCAAGGAACTGGAAGATGCATTTAGAGAAAACTTACAGGCCCTTTCAGTCAGCACAACCCCTTCCCTGCCCGAGCGAGCAGAGGGAAGGGCACCTGCAGGTGCCTGGATCACAAAGCCGCACCTGGAGTCTTCACAGGCTGAGAACCCTGGCTGGCAGCAGGTCCTCACCCCCCACCCCCTTAGGCCGGGATCTGCTGCAGCCTGGAGCCAGAGCCCCGGGACACAGGCAAGGCTGCGCCTCAGCCTCAGGCACAAGGGATTAAGCACCACTCCTACTCCTTACCCTAGAGGCACCGCGCAGTTGCTTACTTCCCCGTTCCAAGCGTTTTGAAGGGAGTGAAATTACCAGCGTTTGGAAAGGATTCATCACAGCCTCCTGTTCTTTCAGTTCTTTGTCCCCTTTGGCAGGACGCCTGCCGTTCTCCAGCAGCTGCTAGAGCTGTACCTTGTAGTCACTCCCTGTTTTTGTGGCTCCCGAGTTCCCCTGAGCTAGCAGGAACCACCCGCTCCGCAGACGCAGGTTTCTGGAGCTGGGCTGTGCTGTGGACGTGCCCCAGGTCAGGGTGGCCGCAGAGGGACACGAGGGAGGCCAGGGACAAGATCACAGCGCTGACACAGCTTCCAGCCCTTGGCCTACAGATGTGTGCAGGTCTGTGAGGTTGTTGCCAAAACAGAAATATATTTTATTGTTACTGTTTCATTTATGTGTTCCAATATATATCTATCTATATCTATCTCCCGTTTTTACCCTGTCTCCACCTGGCCAAACTTCCCTGTTCCCTCCTGCAGCGGGGACAGCTCAGCAACAGCCTGCAGCGCGGGAGAGGCTGGTGCGGCAGAGCAGGACCCCCCTCAGGCTCTGAGAGGTGGCAGAGGTGACCTGAAAGAAACAGCACAACAGTCGTCAGGCACAGGAAGGCTGAGGAGGATCCATTCCCATTTCAGGCTCTCCCGGCAGCAGCTGCTCTGCTGTGCAAGAGCCCCAGGAGAGAAGGGCTGCAGACACGTCACCTTCACCAGCACATAGTCCCCGGGCCGGGCCCTGGCCGCAGCCTCGCAGCCCCCGGCATCCGGCGTCTCGGTGTCGGGGAAGATGACCTTGATGTTGCCGTCGTTCCTCCCACACAGCTCCGAGGCCGAGCGCTTGCTGGGCTGGGAGGAGGGCAGGACACATCACCCATTCACTGCTGGCCTTTACCGTGGCGGTAGGAACACCCGCACTCCGTGCCGTTCAGCTCGGCGGGTAACGAAGGCCCACGGCCGCGCTGCTGGGCTGACCCCGCCCCAGAGCCACCGTGTCACAGCCCTGACCCTCCCCTGGGCCCAGCCCCGCGCCCGGGCAGACCAGGCCGGCTGCTTTGGCGAGAACACACGGCCTGGGAGCGCGGGACTGCGCGGGGCAAGCGAGGGGGGAAGGCCGAGGGCACGGCCCGAGCGCTGCCCGGCCGGCGAGGGGGGAGGAGGGCAGCTCTGCTCCGGGCACACTCACCCCTTCCACCAGCACCAGCTGCGACTGGCCCACCAGCGCCTCGTTTGCCCTTGCAGCCTCCTCTCGGAAGACAGCGATGAGCTCCTCCAGCCGCCTCTTTTTCACGTCTGCAGGCACGTCGTCTTGCAGCCGGTGATACGCCCGGGTTTTCTGTGAACAGACAAAGCAAGTGCAGCTCCTCAACAACCAGAGAGTCCGAGATCAGAACCTTGTCAGATCCCAGCCAGCCCGGCGGCTCCTCAGTTTGCATTTACAATCTTAAGGAGTGTTTTCAGGCACTAAGCCCCAGCCACATCCTTCCCTCACACTCCTCCCACACCAAGCTGAGCACCGGCAGCCATGTGAAGAGAAGTTCTGCATCTCCCTCGTGAGATGTGTCTGTGCCTGCCTGCCCACGTGGACAGGCGATGAATTCTACTTCTAGCCCCATGTGCTAGGTGGTGATCCGCATTCCTTGCTTCCTTCTGCTTCCCAATCTCCCTGTCCACACCTCACACTGCGGGAAGCATTCTGAAGGAGACTTGTCAGCTATCCACTCTTCTCACAGAAACACCTTCTAAAAATTCACCACTTCTCTCCAGACTCGACTGACAGAGACTCTGCAGCTGGGCTCCAGCCCAGCTCCATCAGCACAACTTCTGATCCACCAAGGAGAAAGCACCTGCAGGCAGGTCTCCGCAGACAGGGCTGCTTTGTCGAGTCTCTCTGGAGCATCCGCAGCGCCAGGTCACCCACCCAGTAACACCAGACACACACACCGGGGGCTGGAAGCCTTTCAGGCAGAAAGGCAGCTCTTGCAGCAACATTTAACCTTGGGGCGTTGCATGTCAGCAAAATACCCACCAATATAACCAGTCTTTAGGTGTTATTTTCAATAGGGTTGGGTTTGGTTTTTTTAAGTGTCTTATTGTGAGAAACGGCACTCAGGAGTTAGGCGAGCTGCCCAGAGGTAACAGTCGTCTCCATCAGGCCCTGCCCTCACCTGCCTCATGCTGTAGGCAAACAGGAAGCCCACATTGTAGCGGACTTCCCGCAGCAAGGACACGGTCTGCTGGTGATCATCTTCTGTCTCTCCGCAGAAGCCGGCAATGAAATCGCTACTCAAGCTCACTCCTGTAACAGAGACACAGCCTCACACCTCCCCCAAGGAGGGGGGAGCCCTGCGCGAGGGCAGAGCTGTGCTGAGCTCAGGCCGAGCTAAGGGGAGCCCCTACCTGGAATGGCCTCACGCACGTGCTGTACGAGCTCCAAATAGGCTTCTCTTGTGTATCTGCAATTAACACACACACAGACTCACTAACCCGGCAACCACGGCACCGGTGAGGAGGAACCAGCCGCCTGGGGCAGGGCAGGGCGCTCGCTCACCCGCGGCGCATGGCCTCCAGGACCCGCGTGCTCCCGCTCTGCGCGGGGAGGTGAAGCTGTTTGCAGATGTTGTGTCGCTCCTGGATGAGCTGCAGGACCTGCGACAGGCAATCAGGAGACAAGTCATGGACAGCTCAACTCCACCAGGACACCAAGGGGAAAAGCCTTCCCCGGGTAACGGCAGCGAAGCGCAAACCTGCCACCTTCAGCGCTGCCCTCCCGGAGCTGCTGCTCCCACTCCCCATCCCGCGTTCCCTGGGGAAGGAACCAGCCTGCCTGCAAGCAGAGGTCCAGGCGTTTATTTTACACTTGCCTCATCGGGAAAATCCTTGGGGTGTGGAGAGGTGAAACGGATCCTCATTTCCGGATCAATTCTAGAAACCTGGTCTAGAAGATGTGCAAAGCGCAGCCCTCCTGGTTTAGCTCTGTAGACCGTGCTAAAGCCACGGCTGAGGGCCGGGGCAGCCGCCGACTGGAACTGCACCTCAGACGTGTCCCGAAAGCTGTTGACGTTCTGACCCAGAAGGGTCACCTCCTTCACTCCCTACCGAGATAAACAGAGTAAAAATCACCACCCGGTCAGGATGGTTGAGCTGCGAGGGTGCCCGTGGTTTTACGACAAGGAGTCTCCAGGGGAAGCCCTCCCTTCCCTCCCTGTCTTGAGGCGTGACAAGGGGGACCCAAAGGGCACTGGTGGAACTGGTCAGCCTCTGCTAACCTCACCTCCACAGAGAGAGGCAGCGTCAGCGGGACCCCCGCGCTCAGAACCACGGCCGGTCCCGCGGCCTCACCTGCTGCGAGAGCAGCCTCACTTCCTGCAGGATGGACGCGACGGGGCGGCTCCTCTCCCGGCCACGCGTGAAGGGCACGATGCAGTAGCTGCACATGTTGTCACAGCCCCGCATGATCGACCTGCCGAGCGGCGAAGCGGAGGTCACGCCACGCTCACACGGGCCGTGGCCTGCCCTGCTGTGACCTGGCCGTGCCCCCAGCCACCCCCCCGGGCCGCAGCACACAGCTCGGCAGCTTCCCCTGACACACCCTGCCAGCCGGACTGGCTTCTGCTTGCCCCCAGCTAACAACTCCTAGTTTTTCCATGCATGTTTTCAAGAAATTTGGAAAGCAATTATGGAGTCACAGCCTCACACTGCAATCTGGCAGCAATCCCTCTGCACCCTGTTCCCACAGCGGGTGGTGCTGCCCTTCTGTGCTCTACAGCCATGCTGAGCAGAGGCTGATTTTGTGTTTGGGCATATTATCAAAACGAAACAGAAGGAAACAAAGCCAGCAAGTTACAATGCATGGAGGATTAAAGAATTAAACAGGAGAACCTGGGGCAGGACGTAGCAGAAGGCAGGGGACTAGAGAGGCACAGCCTCTACAAAGGCACAGATGTCCGTGGGACAGAAATCACGCGGTGCAGCACCGGGCTCAGACAATCGGCACTCTCCGAGGAGAGCAAGAGAAGCCCGCAGACAAGCGGAGCACAGGGCAGCCTCTCCAGGGCCCAGGCAGACAGCGAAGCAGCAGCAAACACTCAGCCTGGCAGACTTGTGCCTGTGGGCTGCAGGGAGCGAGTGCAACGAGGCGTCGCATCTCCTGGGGAGCGGCTGTCACCGACATGTCTGTTCTGCACAGCAGTTACTTCCAAACCAGAGCCACAGAAACACACAGGAAAGAAAGGTACTCACACAAACGCTGTCGTGCCACCTGCGCTAGTCTGGACAGGCAGAATATCTGCGTAAGTCTCATCTAGTGACAGCAGGACGTTAGCAGCTCGCTGGCCTGACTCCGCCAGGGCCAGCAGCCGGGGCAGGTCACGATACGCATCGGGCCCTGCCACAACATCGACCAGCTTCTCCCTGTGCAGAATCTCCTCCTTCAGCCTCTCAGCCATGCACCCTGCGCCCAGGGAGAAGGGTCCCCGTGAGGAAGCACCCACTCACCGTTACGCCCCCCCACCAGCTACTTCCGCCCCGCTGAATTAGTTTGGTGCCACCCAGGGAGAGGGGAGCAGGAGGAGGGGACGTGGTACCGAGGATGCCGATGCGCAGGGGCGCCCGATCCCGCGGCCGCCGGGCCTTCAGTGCCTTCAGCTGCCGCAGGCGGTTCCAGATCGTCTGCTCCGCCTTCTCCCTGGGAAACCAGGAACCGGGTGGTTATTCCCACGGTTGCACATCAGAGCAGTTGCTTACCCCAACCTGGAGCAGCCCAAGTGTTTTGGGAGGAGGATTCAACCAAAACCAGGGAATCATCGGCCTGATGGCAAGTGGAAGTGTCGTTTGTGGCGCATGGGTTATGTCTGGACTCTCATCTACTACCATTTCGCTCGCCTGGGAGCATCTGTGCTGCAGAAACAACTCAGGGACTAAGCTCTTGTGGAGCAAAGGTCAGTCTCAACCAGCCTGTGCGAGCTGCCCTGCAAGTGACAACGAGCATCCCGTACCTTCTGCATTCAGAAAAAACAAAGTTCCCAATCTATTTATATCCCAAATTGCCCCAAGCATATTCCCCAAGTTTTTGAAGTACAGACCCTGTACTAAAGAGATGGCCACTTTAAGACAGACAGAAGAGTATTAATAAATGTTTAAAATCATTAAAGCACACATCTGCGCAGGTCTAACTGCAATGCACAGCACGATTAACGATGTATGCTGCAGCACCAGCTAGCTCCCCCCTCACCTGACCAGGCAGGTTCACAGCTGCATGTTCCTTTCTTTACACAACAGGTTAATTGTCTTGGTTTTCAAATGGTGATTCCTTAAAAACTGTTCAGAACCAGCAGCAACAACTTTCCTTACCTCACGGAACAGGTGACAAGGAGAATCACATCTGCCTAAATTGAAAACAACAGAAAAATAAGAGTAATTTGTAAAAGCCAAACGGTAAGTACTCGTGCCCTGCAGGGGTAGCCTGAAGAGGCAGACTATAAAACTCACTTAACTCAGGGAAAAAGATCTGCCCGAGTACGCGGTGGGTTTCAGCAAGCAAAGGGACAAGCTAACAGAAGACAGGCGGAGTCTTCTGCTAAGCGGTAGAAGTAAACTCAAGAGATGAGTCAGGAGCATCCCGCTGTGCCCAATCCCTCTCCAGCTGAGAGAGAACCCAGCAGTTTAAAGAAAAAAGGCAACCCACAGCTTCCTAGCACACTCGTTAAGTAGCTGCCGTTACTGCGCCGAGCTCAGGCTGCAGAGGCCGCAGCACCTGCGGGGCGGGAGCGGGGACGGCAGCGGGGTCTCACCTCCGCCGGCCCCCCCGCCCGGGCGTAGCCGCTCTCCTGCAGGATGGCCCAGGCGATCTCCGCGTCGCTGACGTTCATCTGGCAGCCGTAGGTCTCCAGGTACACTGCAAGGGAGGCGGCGTGACCCCGGCCCGCCGGTGACCTCGCTGCAGGCGGGGCCCTCCGGTCCCGCCGCACCCGCGCGGCCTTCGCCCGCTGCCCCTCACCCCTCCTCACACCCGGAGAAAGACGCAGAAGCGTGCGTGGGGCGAAGGGGCTGGGAGGGGGCGCAGAGGAGAGGTCCCCTCCGGTCCCCAAGGCTGCCCTCCCTCCAGGAGGCAAAACAGCAGAAAAGGCCCCTGAGCCGCGGCTTCGGCCCCGCCACCGGCCCATCTGCTGCCGCCGGTCCCAGGGGACGGGGCAGAGCCTCTGCCCGGCGTCGGGAATCGCGCCCGGGCAGGCTGGGATCGGCCGCGGGAGCGGGATTTGCCCGTTCTGCAGCTGCCTCCTGCCCGAGCAGGGGTCACATCCAGGGAGGCTGCAGCTCGTGCCAGTTAGCCTTGTAGTAATTATTGCTAACAGCTTGTTTCCCTGTCTTGTCGCAGCCTCCTCGTGGCGGCGTCTGTAGCGGGAGGCCGGTGCCGGGGCCCCCCCGATGCCCCGTTAAACCAGGCGGCAAGTGGCTGAAATCCAGAATGAGAATTTCCCCCCCAGCGCTCCCCAAAGCGTGCGGGCTTGCGGCCGGTTAGAGGACAGCTCTGATCAGGTTTCCTCTGGTACAGGGAGTTTGGCCGAGGCATAAGATCTAATTAACTGACCACATGGAAAGAAAAGTCTTTGTTAATTAGGAACCAATTACACTGGGCTTTGGCAAAGGCTGCAGGTTTCGGATTCAGCCTGAGCCACACGATGCCGCGGAGACTGCAGCCAGCGATGCCCGTTCCTCTGGTTTTCACCCGACCGGCCGCACGCCCGTGGGCTCTGGCTCTGGTTAAACCCCGGCGTGTGCCCCGACCCTGCCAGCACCGCAGGCAAGCGAGGGCTAAGGACCACCCTAAGGCCTGCCCGCCTTCCCTCACGTACCTCGGCCTGCAAGGTCCTCCGGAAC